GCGGTTCTCGTTTCTGAGAACACAGAAAGGAACTCCTATTGAACTCCTACCTGTTTAGTTTATATCTTGGAAAGCAGACCTAGTGTTTTACCTGTTTCGAGTAGGTACCCCCCTGAGATGCCCTGCCGCGGAGCCAACGCGCAGCGCATGCGTGTGAACTTTGGTGCCATGTGGAGATCCATGGTACTCATGATCCCTGGTTCGAATGCAGGCCAGGTTATCGAATTAAGCCTTGATTATTTATTCCCTTGGGGGTTCTTGCTGCTGAAGATGCAGCACTATTACTGACCAGAGCAATATCACTAGTACCAATGCACGCGAGAAAACAAACGCGTTGTTGCACCTTGGTTCCGGCAAATCCCGGCGGATCAATAGCACTCGATGTGAGTCAGAGTCCCGCTTAACTTCGGACGCGCAAAAGATATTAAGATACGGCGTGCGCAACGCCCAGGCCATCACAGCTATGACTACCACCGATATCGATTCCGTCTCTTCCCCCGCGTACACGATCCGCCCTGCAGAGGTCTCGGACATCCCCGCGATGGCCGCCTTGGCCGCCGACAGCTTCACCACGGACCGCAACACGATGGTCAAAGCGATGGGCCCCGACCCGTACGATCACAAGGAGACGATGGAGATGCTACTCCCCGGATGGATAAAGAGCTGCTTGGTCGTCGTGGCCGTCGAGACCGTCACCAGCGAAATCGCAGGCTGGGTCTCGTGGGGGAGGGCAGGTTATAAACCTGCTCCGCCATCCGAGCCTTTCGACCACGACGAGCTGGAGCGCAAGGCACAAGCGGAGCCTGACCCACTCGAGCGGCTCAACAAGCTCTCGTCGGCGAATTTCCGGCGGTGGATGGACACTAAGCTCATGCCGCCCGCATCCGGCAAGGAGCGCTGCATGTTCTCCACATCCATCTGCGTCGCTCCGAAGCACCAGAACCGCGGGGTGGGCCGGCTGTTAGCGCAGACGGGTATGGCGGAGGCGGACAAGGACGGCGTGGACATTTGGGTGCACGGCTCTGAAGCGGCGCAACACCTGTTCCCGAAGTTGGGCTGGAAGGTTATCGGAGAGTATGATATTGATTTGGATGAGGTGCGCAAGGGCCAGACCATTTCCAGGAGAATTGACTCAGATTTTTGCAGTACGCTATCGGGCCACCGCCAAATGGCGACGCCAAGTGGGGCCACTACGTATTCAAGTACATGATGTACACGCCAAAGCCCAAGGAGTAGACGTTATATCTCACACTGTTTTATACGCTCTCAGAATATTCAGAACCTCACTGGCGACTCATCGAGACCGTAGGTTTGGAAAATAACTCAATACCCCGTCTCTACCCAAATACGCACCCGCATCCACTACAGCAGCCATTCATCCCCTTACACGAACGCGACAGAGCAGAAAATTCAGCCTTAAACACCACACCGTCCGGCCCCAACCGCCCTAAAAAACCGAAGTCGAACCTGTCATCACTTAGTCCCGACTCGAACGGGTTACCGCTTATAATTGATTAACGCTGACAGCGCAGAGGGAGCAGAGGCACTCCACACGCTACCAGGCGATATTTGATCTTGTTGAGCTGAAATTATGTGAGTGAATATCAACTGCTGGCCTCGCGGGGAAAAAGCCACGAACATGGTATGCATGCCAGGCTGAACTCGCGCATTTACGAACCGAAACTACACCCACTCCTCCGCGCTATTTCAAAGCAAAATCAAGTGGGACTATGTAGGTCAGCGAGGACAAAACTATGGTACATCAGCGACCAAAAACTGTGGTACATCAGCACCCGGCCCCGAATCGAACGGGGGCCTTCCGCCTAGAAATGGTATGGAGGCTCGCTTTGTAAGTTGAGCGGATGCACCATGTGCTACCGGGTGGTGATACACCTACTTGTGTCCTTGGATATAGGGGCAATTCTTTCTGCATACCGCGGCGATGCGCTGTTACATTCGGAGTCCCGAAAAGACAGGTGGATGGGGAATTCATATGAGACGTAACAACACCTCAACACGCTTCGCTTGCATGTAACAACCTCTTCCAGTATAGTTCCTCGAGAACCACGACCACAATTCGAGCCGGACAATCACCGCACATAGTGTTCCTGAATCAAACCAGTCTAATACATGCAATATTGCAGTGCCCGCGCAGCGGGATACAAACGATGTAAGCTACTTTGACCATGATAAATCTTTTCGGGTGCGACAAAGATAGATAACCACACGCTCCCTTTTTTCTATCCCATTCCTTCGAGTCCAGCTCAAGGCGACGGGGGCTTTTCCACGTATTCGATGTTTTTGAGGGTTTAAAATGTTTTAAACTGGGACGAAGGGTTCAGATAGATCACGGAGGAAAAACAAAATAACACCTGGACGAAACGCCGCCCCATGCGATCTTGACACCATACATGCGACCGTCCGGATAGTCTTCAGCCGTCTAAGTCTTCATCCTGAGAAATGATGAGAACGCACTCGAGAGGTCAGAGCGATGGAGGAACGCACCAGGTAGCCCGCCGTGTCTGCTGAAACCAATGGCAGAGCCGCTTGAGCGGGTTGCGCGACGGCTTCTTGGGGGCGGACGCTGGCACAGCGGAGCACTTGCGCGCCAGGTCGATGGAGGGCCAGGCGAGCGGCGGGGGGCGCGCGCGGAGACGAGTGAGCATTTCCTGCGCGGCAGGCGATAGATTAGCCAATGACGGCGACGAGGTAGGTGCAGACGCGGGGACCTCTGCGTCGCAGGTCGGCGCCATTTCGGAAAGGCGAACTGGGTTGATTTCGACGAAAATGGAGGTGGCATCTGAGGTGGCGGGCGATGGGTAGTCCGACGGGTTGAAGTCGAATGAGATGTCCGCTGTCGACGGAGCGGAAGGACGACCATGCGCGCGGGGGACAGTGAGGAGCGCGGATGTCTGGGCAGGTGTTGGCTCTGAGACCTTGAGCAGACTCTTCATGTTCGCGATGTCGTAGCGCAGCTCGTCGAGGGAGGGGCGCGCGCCGGGGACTGCGCGGAAGCACTTCCGCAGAAGGTCGTTCAATTCGACGGAAATGGGACAGTTGCGTAGGAGGTAGGTGTCGCTGAGGAGGAAAGAACACCACCCGGCGTCGGAATTGACTGCTTTGAGCCAGGGGAAAGCGCCGGATATGAGATTCAGTAGAATTATACAGAGCGCCCATACGTCGCTCTGATCCGCTTCATAGCTTCGGGTAGCGCGTCCCAAAGTAAGTGATTCTGTACGAGATATTAGCGCCAGAGAGTCAAGTCAGAGGAGAAAGGACCTACCGGGACTCATGTAACAGGTAGTTCCAGCCGCAGTCGAGCAGGGAAGTTCGTCGTCGACCGCCAGCCCAAAATCCGCGATTCTAACATCTGTCCCCTCCGCGCTACAGAGAATATTCTCGGGTTTGAGGTCACGGTGGTGGACCCCGCGCTGGTGGCAGAAACGGACGGCGTCAATGAGCTTCAGGAAAACCTCCTTAATGAGACCATTGTTGTTCTCGAACACCCCGTTCTCAATGGGCCCCCAAAGGTCGCCGGCGGCGAGCTCGAGGACGACACAAAGGCAGCCGTGGGTGTAGAACTGTCGGTGAAGGGTGATGATGGAGGGGTGGGGGGAGCAGATGGTGTGGAGATCGATCTCGCGCTTGTCGTAGCGCGTACCGAAGCCGAGGCACTTGACGGCGCAGTGAGTCGGGGAGGTGGGGGATGATGTGGTATCGAGGGCTTTATATACGACACCGTAGGATCCGGCGCCGAGGACTTTTAGGAGACGTAAGCGACCATCGTCAACGAGGAGGCCTGTGAGGTCGGGAAGATTGGGCGAGGAAGGCATAGGAATAGGAAACTGGGGACAAGAAGAACGAGAGCAAAAAGGCAGCAAGAGAGCAATTGGGAGGAAAGGGACCACGGTCAACGTGGTGGTGCGGAAGAACAAAGTGTTAGGAGAACTTGAAAGCCCCCGCGGAATATATACCATTCCAGTTAGGAGAAATTTGCTTCCGATCGACGATCGCGCTAGGAGCCATGGAGAATCGGAAAGCGCCAGACACAGATATAAGAGTTCGACGGACGTCGTCGGCGCTCTGCTAAACCTTAGTGAACTCAGTTTGTAGCGGCCCTCAGCTGAGCGGAATATGCGATTCGCCCTAGAAGAAACTTGCTTCCGATCGACGATCGTGCTAGCCCAAGACCTAGGAGCCATAGAAGCTCGGATCCGCAGAAACTGTCTGTGAAGTGAAAACACGTCATGGCCAGAGACATCGACATGAGAGTCGCCCTCGGAAGATAAACCTTAGTAACCCCAGGTTGTGCCAACTCAGTTGACCCCTCTATATAGAATGAGGTCGATCTTGATGCAGTTTTGGGTATCCTTACCGGCGAATGAAGCCCAGGGGAGATTCTGCGTATTTGGGAAGATGGAAAGAAGACCTGCCGCTTTTACGCGCTCTTGGTGCCACTCGTATTTGTTCGTTGACGTGTTCGCTACCAGTACAGAATAGTCAGAAGTGGACTTGATTATGCTGGCGGATGGTTGAGACCCTTTGGTAAAGAGCCGGTGCTATGACGCTCACGGGACAGTGGTCCAGAGACGCGATTGTAGTGGAGCGGAGCATCGATGTACGCTCACGTGATATATAAACATTAGCAAATACGGACACCGCGCGTTCAAACTGCTTATCGAACGCAAGACTGCTGGTCACTCAAGATAATATAATTTGATTCCTCGAGATTCATTCAACTGCGTGCCTTCTTTTTATTGTTTCCCCCGGCTCGAGAGGCTCTGCAGCAAAATTTCCTGGTTAAATGGCAACTAAAATACAACGGCGTAGTTTAGGGATACAGCCGAGGTTTAGACGAGTAACGAAGGCCCCAGGACAACGCTGATGAGGTTACACGCGGAAATAAACCCGCAGAAAGCAACACCGAGCAAACCAAGCATCTCATCCCTCGTTTGTGAGGTGAGCCTTGTTTCAAACTTTACTGTAGTGGCCTAAAATGAGACCTAGTAGCGAAGTAATCGCACCTGCCCCGAGTGCTTCTTATCCGATCCAATCGTAAAGCAGGCTATCCTGGTTCGAGTCCAGGCTAGGTTTTCAAGTTCTTACCTCTCTTTTTCTTCGCTTCATTCGAGTGATGTAGGTGTGTCCTGTGAAATTACACTGCTTTTTGAGCTGGATGAAAGTGCAGGATCAATCTCACGTTGAATCTGTAGAAGAGAGACCTAGCGGTGAAAGCATCGCATCTGCCTTCACTATGTAATTGTTGACGAATCGTGCGGAAGGGGTCCCTGGTTCCAATCCAGGCTAGGTTGCTAGTCGTTCCTCTTTTTTTTCCCTTTCTCGTTCAATGTGAAATTTGCAGCATTGGAAAAGTGCCATTAGAGGTGAGGGATCTTGCCTCCCACATTTTTTACTCTACGCCTTGGGACTTCCCCATATTGTCGCACTCAACCGGGATACAAGTGAAGGAAAAGAGTGAATGGTCCGCGCCTGCATGTTGTATGATTACCGGAATTCATGTGAGTGAATTTCAGTTCCTGGCCTCGGGAAAAAATACAAACATGGTATACATATCATGCTGAACGCGCACATCTATATACCACCCGATGCAACCGGCCATTTACGAATCAAAACTAGACCCACTCTACATTCCTGAAAAAAAAAAACAAGTGGAACTGAGCGAGGACCAAAAACGATCGGTGCATCAAAACCGGCCCCAGATCGAACGGGGGCCTTGTGCCGCATCAAATTCTGGGATACTTATTCCAACTCTGAAGACAGAATTCACTGCTGGCACTTTCGATGCCGGACTTCACCCGCGGTTTCCACATCGCATCTTGAGGTGTGCAAAGCAGTTGCGTGCGTGGAATTACAATCATAACCGCTCGGGTGACAAGGATCGAGTTACATCCAGCCGTACATCGAGTCAACATCATTCAAGTCCCTAATCGAACCTCGCAGATACGTCTAACAGCGCGGAAGTTAGCTCGGAGCGCACGTGTGAATGTATATTGGTACGCACCCCTATCAATCCGCGGCTGCTGACCCCAGGCAATAGTAATTCCGGCGCTCTCGAGTCGTTCTTTGGTGGTGGCCCCGCCCGCAAAGGGATCACCCGCGTCATGCAAGACGAGGTGGAACGACACAAGCGGCGACACACGCGCAGCCAGCACCGAAATCAGCCGCTCGAAGTCGATGTTTCTGGCCCACGCGGAGAGCTTGAGCGCGGTGAGATTGGGAAGCAGCGATTCAGGTGGCGAGAGGGCGTCGAGGAGGACGTGGAGTGAGTCTCCGACATCGATGGTAAGGTTTTTCACGGATGGGACAACGCGGAGACACTCCACCACGAACAGCGTCGAGTCCGGCTCCGAGGCAGAATCGGATTCAGACGACGACGACGATGAGTCATAGTCATCGAGGGACGCAGAATCCAACTCTGAAACTGCGGGGGTCCTCCCAAAGGCGAGCTCGAGGCTTTCCAAAATGCATCTGGACCGCGTAATGAATTCGGAGAGCATGAAGGGCGATGGGTACCCCTTGAGCGACAAATGACGAAGACGTGGAAAAGTAAATGCGCCGAGCTCCGCCATCTCGTCGAGAGACAGCGACTCGAGGAGGAACGGTGTCGTCGATTCGGGTTCGCGGTAATTGGCCGTCCTAGTCTGCGCCGTGATACGCAGCAGGTGCGGGAACCGGCGGAGAGTTATCTGTAACGCCTCTGCAGAAATATCCGAGCATTCTATGGTAGTGAGTAACGGATATTCTCCCGTCCTCGGCAGCGTGATGTTCCCGCGCAAGCAGATCTCCCGCAGGGACGGGGCGATTACTACGGGCATGTCGCTGGGATCATCGCAATGCTCGGAGACGGAGAGATTCTGTAGGAGGGGGAATGGGGTACACTGGAGCTGTGGCTGGCTAAGCATATCGCCTTGTAGCTCAAGGCGGCGCAGCCGCGGAGCGAATTCGGAAACGAAGACCAGCATCCGTACTGGAAGGATATGGTATATAGAACGGAGAGTGAGCGACAGTGGCTGGTCCTTTGCGCAATAGAACCATGTCTTGATAAAGGCGAGCGCCTCGGTATCTGCTGCGATGTCCTCCGGAGTTCTGGTAGTCACTATGTTAGCCCACATGTGGGAGTCGGATTTATCAATGGGGTGCGGTTCGAAATAGTGTAGGGCGGGGAAGAGATCAAGCGAGCGCCATAGTTCAGTTGTTGCATGTGCGATAGCCCGCCACTGGCTGCAGACTTGGGAAAGGAGCATTGGGGCAACTGTGGGAGATGGCCGCACGCGTCCATGCACCGGGAGGCATCTGAGAAAGATCTCAGTCGTGATGTCGTCCGGAACCTCGAGGATGTGGAGCCCAAGAGACGAGGCTGGATGCGCAGGTGTCGAGTGGTACATGGTGAAAGGAGAAGGCGCCCCAGCCAGGGGCAGTACGAGTCCGTTCTTTATTCAAGAAACCGTATTCTCCCACGCAAATGTATTTCTTCTTTGAACAGAAGGTCGACGGTCAACCACCGCCTCGCCCTTGGCCAACATCCAGTAAAAGTAGAGGGATTCTAGCACTAAGCCGCGGTGAAGAAAATTTATAGACGCGCGGCACACATCAGATATGGGTTGTGCACAGTGCAGCTGCAGATCAGAAATTCGACCACGTCGCGCGGCTTCCTTGTCCGTCAAAACAAAGTCCAGCGCCCCACGCGCCTACTCCCCTCGCGCACCCACCACGCCCCAGAAACCATCCTAACACACAAGCCCCGCACAATGCCTTCGCCGCGCCGCCACGTGCGCCGCGTCCTGCGGACAGTCTTCCGACCATCCCCATTCCGTCGTCGAGCTCGTTCTCGTCGTCGCCGTCCTCGTTGTCGTTCACGGGCAGATCGTACACGTCCGCGCGCAGGCCCGCGTCGTCCTCCGCGTCGCCCCATCCGTCCCACCACCACGCCCACGGCGCGCGCGGCGGGGGGCGGTGCAGGCCGGGCGGGGTCGTGGGGGAAGCAGCGGCGGGCGAGGGCGCGGAGGACGCGGAAGCGCGGAGGACGTGGAAGCGCGGAGGGAGGGCGTGCGCGAGGGCGGCGGGGTCGTGGGGGCGGTGCAGGCCGGGCGGGGTCGTGGGGAGGCGGAGACGGAGGCGGGCGAGGAGGGCGCGGAGGCGTAGAGGGAGAGCGAGCGCGGCGAGCGCCAGGACGGAGATGGTGGTGCATGCAGTGGGGACGGAGGCACATACAGCGATGGGGACAGCGGGGCGCGCCATGCGGGCAAGGGTGGCGGCAGTAAGGACGGTGAGGGTGGCGACTGTAGAGACGGTGACGGCGGTCCGCGCCAAGGCGGGGAGGGGGGCGCATGCAGGCCCGCCGAGTGCAGGAACCCCGGCGTCGAGGGCAGGGACGGGAACATGAACGACGTCGCGCGCGGGGACCGGGGCTCGCGCGCCGGGGGGCGCGTGAGGATCGTGTGCATGATTTTGTAAAGCTGCATATACGAAAGAACGTCAGCATCAGCGACATGGGGAAGGAAAAGAGTGAAGGAGGGGAGACGGAGACGGATATGCACGTACCTCGCCGATGCGCACTGCGCACCTCCAGCAGCTCGATGCCCCGCGCATCACCTCCTCCTCCTCCGCTTCTACCTCCACCAGGACTAGGACTATCCGCCCCCGCCTCGCGCACGCCCGACCCAATCGTGCGCAGCACCTTCTCCAGCGTGCGCCGGTCGACGCGCGGGCCGAAGAGGACGTGCAGCGAAGCCGCCGTCGGGGCCTGCTGCTTGTGCTTGTCCACCGTGGCCGCTGGCACTTGTCCTCCGTGGCCGGCTGCTTGCACTTGTCCTCCGCGTACTTGCGCGTGCGTCTGTTACTGCCCGCGCGCCCCCGCCCGCCGCCGCGCCGCCTCGTACAGCGGCCGCGGCACCGATGCGCAGCGGGTGCCGTTCGCTCTTCGTCGCCCTTCCCAAGTCTACCTCCTTCTCCACCCCCTTCTCCTTCTCCTGCTTCCCTACACCCCGAAGCCCACCATGGGCCCCTGCCAGCGCCGGCTTCTCACTCCCACCCCCACTCCCATTCACCCCACCGACGCAGAATCATCCTCGACGAACGCCGGCGCGGGGTTGCGCCGGATGCGCCTCTTGCCGCTCACGGATGCATTCCCTGGGTTCGTCAGCGTCTCCGCGCTCCCCGCAGTAGACGTCTCCGCGCTTCCTGAAGTGGACGTAGACGCGCTCCCTGCAGTAGACATAGACGCGCTCCCTGCAGTACACGTAGACGCGCTCCCTGTAGTCGACGTAGACCGTTCCCTCCTGCAGGCGAAGTAGACGTATCCCTCCCCTCTTTAGCCTGATTGGCAGAAGCGAGCGCACCCGCACCCGCACTGACAGAAGCGACCAACGCCCCCGCCAGCGCCTCCACGTCCCGGTCATGGCTCCGCACGCGCGCCCACTTCTCCTTCTCCTTCTCCTTCTTGACGTCGGGAGAGAGGAGCACGAGCGCGGCAGAGGAGAGCTTGCTCGCGGGTGCGTTTACGCCTCCATTTACGCCAGGTGCAGCGCCGACCGACGACGTCGACATAGCAGTGAAGGACAGCGGAGCAGCGGAAGATAGCCTTGCAAGGACGTGCACGGCGAGCGCGGGCGGGGCGTGTAGGTGCGTTAGCTGGGGAGGAATGGTGTCCGTAGCTCAATCTGCGTCTGCTGAGTCTGCGCCTCCATCCGCGAATCCTTTGTCGCTTCGTCTTCATCGTCGGCTGCGTCCTCGCCCCCGACGACGGCGAGCCTCGAGCGTGGGGTGCAAGGCGAGGAAGGACGGGCGGGCGGGGGTGTCGAGGCCAGGCGCGGGGGGTTGGGACCGTGTGTCGAGCGCGGGTGGGTTTTGAGCGGAAGGAGCGCGGGGCGCGAGTCCGGGGGAAGATGGTGAGGCTGCGCAGGGCGGGGAGGTGGATCTGGCGAGGAAAGTCAGCGTTTGGAACGGGATAAAAAGATGGAGGCAGAGGAAAGGTAAGAGGTAGGAGGAACAATAGAACGCAAAGATCGCGGGGGAGTAGCGAGACGCAGACGAAGGAAGCGCGGGAGACGGGGTACGGCGGGTGGAGGGAGGGA